CCTTGTGGTCAATCTCTGCCACTTCGTTTTCTCCACCACGTTTCTCTTGAACCGCTTCCTATGAACCAACGTATTCACACTTATCATCTGCTCAACATGCCAATACATATTATAGTGCATGTATTATAGGTAAGCATCTCATAATTAAACTGGGGGATGTTCATCTAGCCAAATAGAAATAAATAAGTAATTAACTACTAACTAGAATTGAAATATATCTTGAAATACAAAAATGATTCATGGACAAAAATAGGGGATATGAATATTGACCAAAGTAACGGGGCTTTTACAAGAATCAGCTGTCTATTAACATCCAAGTATTAAAAAACAGGAAATGTCGCAAAACTGCAAATAAGTCTCTTTAAGGAATTTATTAAGAAATAGGCTTGAAATAAAAATAAATTATAAAAAAATGTTATGAACACACTTTTATCTCCAAATTCAGATGCACTAAATGCATTCATTCCAAAAGGAGTAATTTCCGGATTTTGTGGACAGAAATAAACACAGACTTAAATGAGACCGGACGGTTCACGTGTTAAACATTTATTAAGAATCTAAAAAGCTTACTTCCTCCGTTTTTTATTCATAATCATTTTGTCAGGATTTATCATTTTTTTTTATTGTCATTTTACTAAAATCAATAATTTATTAATTTTTTTTCTTATTTTTACCCTTGATAATTAATATATGTTTATTGAACAATGTGTCTATTTATTTCTAATATCTACCTATTTTTTCTCCAACCACCTCTGTAAAATTAATGTTACATTTAAAAAAATAATATGTTTCTAACAAAATATTATAAAATAATATAGTGTAGAATAGAAAAGTAAATAATAAATATTTTTGAAAACTAAAATATTAATCATTTTCTTAAATCTCGTACAAAACCTTAAACGACTATGAATAAAAAATGGATGAAATACAAAACTAACGGTATCTTAGGAGATGCGGGTGATTGGAACCGCATCCAATGTGTTTATTCGTAGTAGTTACTTTAGACTAAAAAAAAATGTGACTAAAAATAGCATTCATTTTGTTGTAAAATGTCCCAGAACTGGCCTCTGCAATGATGTGAATGTATGTCAAAGAATATTATACCACAAGAACCAATGAATCCAAGAAAAGATAGCACACTTATTATTAATTCAATAGAAAGTAACTTTGTTAAATATCAAAAGAACATTTTATTTTGTTTTACGTGGTAGGCATGGATTAGTCACATTTCACAATCAAAATCAAAATCTATAAAAATTAATAAAAACTTTATATCAATCACTAAAAAAAACACATTTTTTAACAAATAAAACAGATTATATATCTTGCATTTTTTTCTTCTTCTTTAAAGTAATACATAAAATAAAGAATCATATGAACTACTAGAGTGTAACGGTGAAAGTTAAAATAAATACTCGAAGATTTAAGATCGATAATGATTGAGGAGGCAACTGCAATCTTTTTTATATGATGAAAAAGTATAGACTCGTAGCCATAGGTGTGAGGTGATTAGGGTTGTATGCTTAATGAATGTCCTTTACTCTCTTGTCTCTTCTGGGTCCCTCTCCAAGATAAAAGAAGGTAAAACATTCGGTCAAAATTTCCCGACTCCAAATGCAGAAATACACCAAGTTTATTAAGGTCAATAATCACACACGATCCAGACCAAACTTTTGTTGCAGTATCATATAATTGTTGGTTGTATTATTTTACAATTTCCTGTATTTAGTTTGTTCTCAACGACATGAAAATTAAAATGAGGAAAATTTGCATCGCAGAAATTGAAGGAAACGAGTAACCAAACGAAACACAAGGAATAGTGTCCTCCACTCCTACAAAGAGAAAAGATAAACATACCAGAGAATATCCGCACGGTTCCATTGCAAAGCGTGTTGAGCTGAGTTTCTACCCCACGCATGAAATCCATAGCCTCTTGTATAGGCCTCGTTAATTCCTCTCGATACTTCACAAGCATGTCATAGTAAGCTTCCTGTTTTCCACAAACCATAGTTCAAACTCTAAAACTAGTCACAATTAGCAAAACAAAACCCCAAAATGGGAAAGTTGAGAATAAGAATTAAAAACCACACACCGACCATGAATTGATCAAGTTCTGGGTCCTTGCAACTTTCCCTGGACCTAACCATAGATCGCTGCCGTGCCTCAAAATCCTGCAGAACCGCAGCCAAACGCGCCACCGCCTCTGGCGGAGCTCCCACCTAAAAATATGAAAAATATTTAAATAAATAAATGAAACTATTTAATTTATGTGTACATATATGGGGCATACATATATTTATACTCAAGCTTTTTTATGTTGATGAGAAAGTAATCAACTAATCATTGAGAACCTTTTGGCAATCCGTGTAAACTTGTAAAAGATTTAAGTAGTGAGGATGGGCAATGATTTTGGCTTTGATGGCTTCAATTTCGTCAGAGCTCTGAGTCCCTCCTTGAAGATTTGGACTCATTAGAGGATAGTGGAAGTTGGTGGACTCGGTTTTCACTTGATCGGGTTGAAAACAGTGACCCGATCCACCCGATTGAAGATGAAAGGTGTTGAATGGAAGCTGTTGGTGGCGATTTCCAACACTTGAACCACAAGCCAAGGAGTACAACAAATTTGCCCTTGGACTTGTGTTTTCGCTCAGGTGATTATTAGTGAATTCCTCCATTTTATTCAATTTAAGAAAAAGAATAAAAAAACTCTCTCAAACACAATCAGCTATTGTAACCCAGATGAACTAGAGGTTCAATATGACGAAGAAACGACGGAAACAAACCCTACGTTATTGTGAATTGGCGGAAATTTATGAGGTGAGCAACGTAAAACCCTAAAAGACTAAGATTGGTAATATATTGTGATATGGACCACAGAGTCAACTGCATAAGTCAGATTGAATTTATGGTGGTGAGGGAAGCCAAGGGTATGGTTTGGGAGGATTTTAAAGGAAGAGGAAGTGATGTTGTGATTTGCACCACCAAAGATTGGGCAAAAGACAGGGTAGAGAAGAGAGAAAATTGCACATGATTAGTTGTACAGGAAGTGATGAACAAACGAGAGAGAAAGAGAGAGAGGAGCACTGCAATCCAAAATCCGGCAATGTCACCGTGTCTAGAATGAAGTTGACAAAACCCTCTTTCGTTTTGAGGAAAAAATATATTTAATAATTGTGCAAATTATATACTAATTACCCTACACAATAAGCCTCAG